CTACATTGTTCAGAGGCCAGTAAAATAGCTGATAAAACTTACCCAAGTTAAATTAGATTGCTCAGGTGCTGCTAAGTCACAGAACTTGCAAGCTTGCACGACCCATCTGGATGCTTGGTAAGTGCTTTGGGGTTTAGCCTGTGACTGACACCTCCACTGCCACAAATGACATTGTTTAGTAGTGGCTGAGGCAACTAGTGTGAAACCAGCTTTGGTAAGTCCTACGTATTGGAAGTGGAGTGGAAAGCCGGATGTCACTGCCCATTCTGTTTCCATCTTGGTGAGCAGATCAGTAGCGCTCCATTCATTTACTGAAGCGATTATCCTAGCAGGATTTCAAAGATAAATTTTTTGGTAAGCTGGTGGAAATTTCATTATATTTTTCATTAATTATGCATTAGTCTGGGAAGATAGTGTCCTTCAAAGCTTGCAAGGATGTCTTGATAATCCAATCCAGTACAGAAGCTGCAATTCCACACTAGATGTAAGATGCTAAGAATCAATACTGTAAGCATTGTAATGTTTTGCTTTCTTAAAACCTGACTATTTGAAAACCACATGTATTCTCCTTTCTCTTCAGCCTGGAGAGTTCATACACACATTAGGAGATGCTCACATATATCTGAATCATGTGGAACCCCTAAAAGTTCAAGTACGTACTTATTCTCTATTCTTGTATCCTTTTATCTTCCACAATGCTTATGCAATACAACGTTATCTTGGTATTATAAATATCCTTTTGCAAATATTAATTTGCGTGGCTTTTCTTCTCATTTCTACCCTAATAATTGTAGTACCTTAACCCCTGTTCAACTCAGGTCGCAAGCAGAAATACAATACAAACATGATTGAAACGTACATCAGTGTACTGATTCTAGAACCAAGTTAGAGATCCAGAATCTGTACCCCTACTTTTGACTTCATCATTCCAAAACCTTAGAAAACCATTCCGCCTAATACAGATAAACACAAAATAAAATGTCTTTGTAGTATATCAGAAAAGGATAACTTACCAATTCACAGAGTTAATCAGTATTACTATTTGGCTGAATAAGGCTATATTTTCTTCAGGAAGTAATTTGTTGCAGTAGGAACAAATCAGAATTTTATTTGATTAGACTTAGCTCAGACTGAATGTCCTCACCTTTCATATGGTTCAAAACCATCCAGAGAACTAGTTATTGGTTCAGACCCGAATGTTCCTGTGAGAAACTGCAGCGCATTTGATGCACATCTGGGCCAGAATTTCCAATTTAGTTTCCTCTGGAAGGAATCTAATCTGTAACCACCGGAATTGCTCTGCAAACTGAAAATGCTTGCAGAGCATTTGGATGATCAGGGAATCCACTTCAAAATTATGCTACTGCTCCCTAAATCCCTAATACTAAAGTAGATTCCACCTAACTGTATTACAATTTTCTTTTCTTTTTTTGACTATAAGTCTTCTTGGGGAGGAGGGAAAATCCTACACATAGTGTAATCTGAATTGATGTTAATGAGATCTAATTTATAACGCAAAATCTCTGCCTTCAAGTATCAGCTTTATGCAATAAACTTGCTTTTATTTCAGCTTCAGAGGGAGCCGAGACCTTTCCCTAAACTCAGAATTCTTCGTAAAGTTGAAGACATCAGTGACTTTAAGGCAGAAGACTTTCAGATTGAGGATTATAATCCTCATCCACCTATTAAAATGGAGATGGCTGTTTAATGCTATAAACCAGCTTCTGTTAATGTGGAAACGTACCTAAGCTACTTAGCCTTCTCTGTACTTAAAGTTACGGGTTTTTTTATAGACTTAAAAGATAAATACTTTCTTACTGAAAAAGAAACAGGTACTAGTAGACCAGTACTGCCTTCAGTACTAAACTGCAGTTGTACAGAACAGGTCATTATTTATTTCTGCTGTACTATGCAGGTGCTAACTCCTTAAGTTGTTAGTGAGAGAGTTTCCTACAGGTTGTTTCAGTTACCAGTGGCCACTTCTGCTACCATTCAGTTGCTATGTGTGAGTAGCACTTGCTTACATGCTTTATTTAGTACTGAAAATAAGAACTTTTATGTATGATAGAGGATGCCTTCAAGGTTGTAGAAGCCTTTCAGTATGTTCTGAAAAGTGTATGTTTAATAAAGCTTTTTAAAAAAATCTTCTGGAAGGGATGATGTGTATTTAATTTTGTATGTTTGTTTATATTTAGTAGTAAATAAGAGTGGGAAAGCAAAGGTAAATTCTGTTTTACTTTAGCATCTTGGAGGGTGAGATCTAGCAAGGAAAAACAAACTCAAACTTCCCATGGTCTTCATAGATGAACCAGCAGGAAGACAAAAGATCTTAATCAAGCCTTGTCTGAAATGCAATCTCTGTATAAGATCTCTGTATCAGCATTTTTTTTATTCCCCAACCCTACAAGAATGATGAATTTGATATAAATCAAACAGAGCTGTAGTTAAACACAGGTTACCAGGTAGTATTAGTAATAATCTGTCTGTCATTTAAAACCAGATCCCGCAAACATATGGACTGATTTTGCAGCCTGGAGCAGTAAAAGTTAGAGACAGTAGTATTTGTAGGATTGGAGCTTATTAATTAAATCTTAGCAGAATTCAGCTTTCATCTCTCCTTATCCTTGCAACTTCTGCAGTAACTTCAGTCCTTACAAAATTCCTCTTCAGGAATTCAATTGTGAATAGATCTATGGTTAATATTCAGACATAGCATATTCAATACATGTTTGAACACATAGAGAAATGCGTAGTAATTTTCTGATTAATTTTTAAAGCCAGTAAACTGGTAAATATCATTGTAAAATTGTACAATTTGAGATAATTGTAAGAATTTAATAAACAGTGTGCTTTGATTCCATTCATTCAGGGGCCTGCATAAGGGGACCATTGCATCTTTCTTAAAACGAACTGATCATAACTTTCAAAAGCATATTTTGCATCAAAATTATTTGCAAATCTCATTATACTGATCTTCATTATACTGATCACTGATCTTCAGACTAAATTTTTTGTAGTGCCAGGTCATGCTCAAAAAATAAGTTGTTCTCTTTTCCCGACATTTAGCCCAACACAAAAAAATTGCAGAAAAAGGATGTCATTACCTTTTGTCAGTACATCAAATGTAAATAGGTCACTGCTTATTAGAAATGTTCTCCTCAGTATCTACTGTAGTCCATCTTTCTTGAACAGAGATGATTAGACTATGTGCTATTTCAGCTGAGATCATATGAGAAACCTTATACATGGAAGGATCAAACCTGTCTTTTTCTGAGGCTGCATTAAGTGGACATTCTGTAGCCAACCTGTAGTTAAACATACTTGAGTCTTACCTTCTTTCAAATTACCGAACTCATGGATAGTAGCAGTATTCTTGTTACTAGAGCTGAAAGCCATATCACATTCTCCTTCTAATAAATTTCATCTCGGCTCTACTAGTCTTGTATTTTAAAGTCGCCTAGTTTGGATATTCCAGGTGTCATCTGCATTAATGATACCTCCCAGCTGTAGCTTGTCAGCAACTTCTTAGCATGTGCATACTTTTATAAGTTAAAGGTTCTTGAGTGTATTTACAGTCCTCTAAAGTACAAGAAAACAGGTTAGGTTGCAAATTCACTTAACATTTCTGCCTACACTTAGCAAGTTAAGTTCCTTTTGCTGGAAACCACTTTATGTAACACGTCGGATAAGGTGGAATCTGCAGGGCATTTTAGCAAGCGTAGCCAGAGAGGATGTGAAATGAAATGTTGGCCTCAGGGCTTAACTAGTGGGAATTAGCAATCTCCGTAGAAGTTAACCGGGGCAGGAATACCCAGCCAAGAGAAGAATTTAGAATGGGAATCATTTACTTCCTTTCATAAATTAAAGAGGAGTTAGTCCAATTGGAAGGAAAATTTAAAAAAAACTTTTTAAGTATTACCTTTATGAAACATGACAAATGGTCTATTCTTACAGAGCTGTATGGACATACATAGCATGCTTAAACAGACCAATATATATAGCTCTGGAAGAGCTACTGCTTTTCAGTATAGGAATTAACTACAACTTCACTGTCCCCTTTATCAGCACAATTTACTACCAATAGCCGTCGTTGAACTAAAGCTTGTACCTCGAAGTCCAAGGATGCTTATGCTGCTCAAAAGATGAGAAAGATGTAAAAAGCAGGCTTTACACAGAAGACTTTAATGTGAATAAAAGTGAAAATACATATATTTTAAATTAATAGGTATGAGACTTCTATGATTTCAAGCAAAAAATACGAATATTCAAAGAATTGGACTCCATAGAGTTAAACAGGAGGTACTCAAGGAATTTTGATTTGCAGAATATGAAGACTGTTCACTGCTGCAAAGATGACTAGTATGACTGCAGGCTATATTCAGAGCAGTATTTTAGACAAACACGGGACATTGTTAGATCCTTTTGGGAAGCTATGAAAGGAACCCATAGGCCTACTGAGAGAAGGGGGCGTTCTTGGACTTACTTCCTGATCAATAAGCTGTCCCAGCAGATCCCTGTCTCTTGCACTCCCCAGCTGATGACTTAAGAGCTGTACAGGTGGCATTAGAAGTCAGTTCCTTACCAGCTCTGCGTATCCATAGGATTTCTGAGTCCTTGCCATTTGCCCTGCTGACTGCTACACTCATTCTGCCTCACAATTTGGCCCTGAAAAGTTTCCTCTCTTCTGTCATTCCTTCTCTGAATGCATCCTTTTCCCCACTTTCCAAGGGGAATTTAATCAACTTGGAGATAGCAAGGAAATTTCTTACCACTTTGCTCAAATACCAACTCCCTCTATGTTCTACCTTCTTAGACAAGCTTTTGTAACCCACATTATTTCTGACGTATTACAATACGTTGCAAAATTGGCCCTACTGCAATACCAGAAAAAATATTAGTTATCTGGTCATGATAGATGAGGGGTCAGAAAAGAAGGAACTGTTTCTGAATTTTGAGACAAACACCTACCTGATCAGCCATCAAAATCAATAGTCTGTTAATTAGTCTGACTTGGTGAGTTTGCTACCATAGTGACTGGCATCTGTGAAGTGTCTGAATATGGAGTACAGCCCAGGTTTCGAGTACCTTTATCAAAACCACAAACGGTTCACTTTCACCTGCTTGAAGTTTAATCCACACTTCTAACTTCCCTTTGTAGCCCACAGGCAGGTGGCCTTGTAGGGTAACAAGACAAATGCATGCTGTGACCACCATGTAGCAACATCTTTTTTAAGAAAAAAAAAAAAAAGAACGAGCACCATAGTCAATTGCTGCTGGAGTATTTTGTATAACTAACCTGCTTTCAAGGCTTTCAGATACTGGAATATAATCAAATATTATCAAGTGCTGAACTAATTCACAGAGACCCCCAAGTCCATGCTAGAGAAAGACAGTGCCCAATACCAAGGTATCAAAAGCCCTTTGGTGCAGCCCTACAGCATGATGTGAAACAACGAAAATTACAGCAGTGCATGCAAGCTTACACTCAGAAATCACGAGTATGACAGCTGAAGAAACTAATCAGACTAGCCTGGAGGCTGGGGAGAGAAAGATTTTCTCATTGCTGCTGCATTTTGCAGAGCCTTACTCTGGAATTTTTGGCCATCAGCAGCACAGAGAAGTTTTCATTCACACTTCCCAGCCTGCAGCTGTCAATTTTGAGATAACTCAAGGCCTTAGCTTGTAGAAGCTGTTTAGATATCACTCTGTTGTGGCAGTGTAAGGGAAAAACTAAAAAGTTAAGACCTGAAGTCTTCCAGATTAACATATTACAAGAGCTGCTGGCAACTCATATAAAACATTTGTATAGTGTCCATCCTGTGTGTCTCAATAAATCTGAATTATTTTAATTACTCCATTTAAATGAGAGATCACATGAGAATTTGGATGAAGTGAAGTTCAAGGATGTTGCCAATATTAAAAATAATCAGCTTATACTTGTAATGTTAAGAGCACTACACCTGACACAACGAATTGAGGTATACTGAAAAAAAATCACTGTGTGCCAAAAGGCATCGTTGTACTGGAAGGTTGGAAATTACTGCCCCCTAACTGGATGTTGAACCGCATAAGTGAAAGTGAAGCAGAAATGCCAAGTGAAAATGGCTCTTCCATTCCAGGACAAGGACAGGGGCTTAACCTATGCAAAGGCAGCTGAGTTTGTAGTGAAATCATTATGTAATGCTCACACGAACTGATTGTGCAGCTCTGCCAGATAATTGCCTCACAGACTGCCTCAAAATCTTTTTAGGATTTAGGCTCCTTTAGGAGCCATCTCACCCCCCTCTGGTCACCCAACCGCGTCCCCAGGCAGGGACTTGAGGTACACTGGGGACTGGGCTGTCTTAGCCCCACTTCAGCACGCTCAGGACTGCACAGCTTTGGGATGTGCTTGCCTATGTGAATGAGCAGCTATTCCCATTTTGAGACAGCTAAAGTGAATGTAGCAGTGATTCTGCTGTAGGAAATCATTCCTTCTTCTGGAGACCAGTCCAGCCAGATGAGAGATGGCCTTGTAGACAAAATATGCTTGGATAAGTCAGGATTCAATTTCTAGCTGTGCTACAGATTTCCTGTCTGGAGCTTAGCTAAGTTGTTCAGTTAGATCAGGCCATTAATTTCCCATGTTTGTAATATGGGTAACAGTACTCCTCTTATTCACAGGGGAATTCTGTGGATAAATACATTAAATGCTTATATGGTTCTCAGATGTTATGGTGAAAAAAAGAAAAAGGTTATACAAACCATCAAGTCAAGCCAGTATTCAGGACTGACATCTACTTTGTAAAGCAAGGCTATACTAATGTGTAATTCAAACCCATCCTAATATATGTTCATTATAAAACACCCTCCTCCCCAAATTAAGTGTCCTATCTACCGGTAGACAACAGCTGAAAGCGAGAACCACAATGAAATATGTTGATAGCAGGGCTTGGCATGAGAAACTGGCAGCAGAGAAACTATGCTAATGCAGTCACTGTTGTCTCCAGTTGCTGCAGAGAACCGAGAATTTGTTAATTCACATTGTTTGGCTCTGTAGATTTGGTGTCAAGCCTTGGCAAAAACATAGGTGCAATAAAAAACAATTTCCTTTAGGCTGGAGACTGGTATTCTAAAAGGTACCAGCCTGTCTATTGACACCTCACTATTTATGATATATCCGGGAATTAGTTCTGGTCTTTGGATTCATTAAAAATATTTCATGTGAAAAGTATTTAAATATAGCTGATGGCAGTGACTTACTACTAACGCTAGCAATGAGTTTCCTTGGGGGAAAGGAAAGGTTTCAACCTTACAAAATAGCTGCATGTATACTGGCCAAATTCCTCCTAAGGCCAGACAGGGCACTGAGTGCACTGACAGGCCTCACCCTGACCAGTCTCACCCGGGGCCCACACCCTCTGCCCATGGGCCTTAGTTTCTGCCTGGGCTGCACTGCAGGTGTACCTGCTTCCAGCTGCGATACAGCTGTGGACGTGTCTGGCCACGGACCGACACCCTGGCCTGGCCTTGTGACCATGGCCCCGCTCCGCCATGGCCCTGCCTGGACACGCCCTGGGCTGTGTCTGACCTTGGTTCCCCTCACCAGGCCTGATCCTGAACGCCACGCACACACTGCTGGCCTGGCCTGGCCTCAGCCCGTCCTTGTCCCCAGGGAGGTGCCCAGTGCTTGGGGCTCAAGCTACCCCACTGCCCCCACTGCCCCTGCTCCTGGCTGGAGGTGGGATGGGCCTGGCTGGGAGGCCTCTGCCCTGCTGCCCCCATGGGGACCCCCTGCAGGTCCCTGGTCCCCTGGGAGCAGCTGGCCCCTGTGGCACCCTGCCAGTTATCTCAGGCTGTCTCAAGCCCTAAGCCAGCACCGCAGGGCTGCTCAGGACCTTGCCCTACAAACCTGGCCTGTCTCTGGGCTCTGACCCTCCCACAGCACCGGCCCCTGCCTAAACACAAGCTTCTGCATGAACGCCTCACAGGGGGGCTTTGGGGCTTTCCAGGGGCCACCAGAGAATCCCCCCTTTGCGTCCCCCCATAAGCCTGCCAAGCCTCTGGGGCTACTCAGGGTCTGCCTGAGCCCCCCACCTGGCTCCAATCCCTGCTGCCATGCCCCTTTCCCATTTCCCTGTCCCTGCCCTGGCTCTTTGTCCCCTGAAATGCCCCCTACACCCCACAGCAGTTAAAGCACTCTTCAGCAAGTCCCATCTGAGCCCAGATCTCTGTCGGGTGGGAGGACAAATCCCTCTTGGGGGAGCTGCTCTCAGGGCACTGAGGACAGGAGTGGCCTTGCTGGCCCTGTCCAGCCTCGCCGGAGGCCTCCCCTGCTCATGCCTGCCCTTGGGACCCATCTCAGCTCAGGCCATGGCCACCAATACCTGCCTGACCTACCCTCAAGTGTGACCATTTCCCATTGCATTGCAGCTGTGCCAAGCCATGGACTTCACTGATCTGGACCCGAACCACAGGCTGACGGCCCAGCTCAACCTGGGTCCGACTTCATCACCGTGGACAGGCTGGCAGTCACTGGGCTGTGTCTGATCCTGGTCCCTGCCCTCAGAGCTGTCTCCTCACCATGACCTCGCCTGGCAACCTTCTCAGTTGACCCTAGGCTCGGCCCCCAGACCTGCCCTGCCAGCCATGCTGTCAGCTCCTGGCTCCCCAGCCCTCCCTGCACCCGACAGTGCCTCTGGTGCCACCGAGAGGATGAACTACAGCTTGCTAACAGCATGATTTTCTGGGATTTTGATCTTTACAGTTGAGTTAGTGCGGCACAAATAGAGTTGATTAAGAAGAGGAGCCAGGAACTTCTCCACTCTAAAAAACACTCCATATAGCCACAGCAAGGTCATGTCTACACATGTGCTGCCATGCTGAGCAAAACGCTTGCTTAAGCACCAAACCCACAGAACAAAATGGGAGCTGTGATAATTATCCTTGGGCTACAGGGAATACCAGCTTCAGCAGCCCTGCAGCTCTCTGCAGATCGCATTGTCCAGCCTACATTGCTCTGCACAGATGTTATCCGAGTTGTCTCATAGAGCTACAGCATGCTCTACAGAGCAGCATGGACTTACTCTTTGTGCCTTGCTTCTCTACCTTTCATATGCGCAATAATGATCACGGAAGTATTCTTTCATATTTCTCACTGCTCTGAGAATATGAAATTTTAGCAGTTAGTCTCATAATAATAATAAAAAAATCAGGTATTTCTAGGTTGTTCACAGAAATTGTGTGTGGAAAGAATGAACTAGGGAGATAAGGTGAGGGGAGGCAACCTTGGTAGGGAATTGCTGAGATAGATAACCAAGTAATTTTCAGCAGTAGTATTTAACTTTAGTGAGAAAAGCAAAGGAGTTTTGGCACCAGCTCCAAAGGTTATGCCATAGTTGCATTAAACAGGTAGTAATTAGGGAAAAGCCCAAAACACGTATACATATTCTTACATGTTTTCTGGTTGCCACACCAATTCCTAGTGGTGCTAAGGCCTGCAAACAAATAACAAACATTCAAGACTTGCTTCTGGTTTTTAATTTCTAATGGACTTACTCAGTAGCATAAAGGATGGAATAACAGTTGATTCAGCATACTGTTTTCTACTCATTTCATAGAGAATGTAACACATGTTATAAAACTTTTTATTGATTTTTTTCTGCTTTCTCTGCTCCACAGGCAATGTAAAGGATTATATAGCAGGATGTGCGGAGCAGTAAAGAAATGCACATAGTATACATCTGGGGTTTTAACAGTGCTGCTAAGTATAGCATGTTGGGAGCACAAATTCTGAACCGAAATTCCTATTTCACTGGAAACCACACATTTTAAAAAAAAGTCCGTTCACATTTCATACTAAATGTTGGCTGCCTTCCTCATGCAGGCATTACAGTCCTTCTAGGTATTTTTTTTAGAAACAAACTATTTCTTTAAACTTAAGGCAATACAGGTGCAGAATGTGTGTCAAGATCCTGTAGCAAATACATTTAATGGTACTCTGAATAACTAGTTCAACCTGAACTCTGAATATGTGAAGGAACAGTCTCAACATTAGACTACAGTACTGACTGGAGTGACTGTATTACTATTGAAATAAAAAAATTAACTCTCCAACCTTTGGAACGGTTGCATGTCCCATCTGGACATGCATATCCTCATCTGGAAAAGTTGGCCCCTTAATCCACGAGGGTTTAAACTCAGCTGGTTAGTGACCCACTCTATTGCTTTCTTTATTTCCCATTGTTGGTTTGCGTCCAGCATCTGGGGATAAGGAAAATATGAATCAAATACACTGAAGGATTCTATTGACTTTTTTTCTGTCAAATTCTCATAAAAAGAGCTGCAAAACTGATATGAAGTGATAGAATTTCAGGAAATAGAAAGGAATGAAAAGCGGGAATTGCCATTCTGTCCGTATTGTACTTTTGGCCACACTTACGCTGAGCTGCAATGACTATAGCAATATCCAGACTAGGTTTGAACCAAGCAGATCAGGAGCTGTAGGAAGTAGAGCAGTCTCTTCTGTGGGAATGAGTATATCTTGGCAGCATATACTTGAGTAAAGTGTTCTAAAACATGGACATGGCTGCCTGAAATTTTCAGCAGAAAAGCTTCTTGACAAAAAAATGCAGTAGTTTAAATAAGATGAGTTTCTCAAGCAGCACTTCCCTCCCACACAAGGGAGAATTTTTCACCCTGCAGTAAGTGAAACATCTGAAAATGACACCACAGTTCCTCTGCAGGCTCTTCAGGTCTTTGCCATCCTGTATTCACAGAGTTCCTCGTTCGGCATTTCATGAGATATAGCATCCCATGAAAGCCCCGTGCTGCACTGCAGCACCCAGAGCAGGTCGGCAGCTGTGGCTGGGAACACATGGGGCAAAGAATCCATCCCATAGCAGTCAACAGAGTAACATTTCCAAAGCGAGATGTGTGACTTCCATCTAAGTATTCCTTTTCATTCAAATATTTTAGTTTGAAAAACTTCTTTTCCAGTTTATTTTTAGCCAAACCTCGGTGAAAAAATATTAACAGGCTTTCCTCTGGAAGCCTCCCTGGGTATAAAAGGCACTTTAAATCTTCTAGAAGACAATCCTAGAAGTGGGGTTCCCCCACAGACTTGAATGGAAGTTCTGGCACAGAAATACAGGATAAAATTCTTAGTAATATATCTACTTTGGTCATGTCCAATACTGCTCTTTGTTGATATATATCAACATTTGTTGCCATCATTATTCAGGATTTGAAGAAGGAAGAAAAAAATATTTGTCAAGAAATGTATATAATAACAGATATTTCATCTAATGGCTTTAAATAGAAAATAACATAGTATAGTAGCAGAAAGTGATATTCACCACTATTTTGTCTAGGCCAATCATTTCTCATATCAATCTGCATCTGCAAATATTATCCTGCAGATCTGCACCCACCTTTACTCTGAACCTAGATGCATATTTGGAACGAGATATAGATCACTTCTGAATGATTAATGTAGCAGTAAACTGGAATCCATAAACTAGAATTTACAATTTCAGCATCACTGCCTTACAGAAAGAACTTTCTTATTACTTCTTTTCCCTTGGGAGTAAGCTTCATCCTACTCTGAAAATAAAACAGCAATGTTTTGTTATAAATCAATGGAAACACATTTATCTTCGTTTGTGATCAGCCCTCAGCTTTGCCATACCATTACTGTTTTCCTGCAATGCAGCATTATGCAGTAGTAGAGGGGGAAGTGTCTGAGAGAGATACAGAAGCAAAGCCATCACTGCCCATATCATAGACCTGGAAGAGTTAGACTAGGTCTAGTCCATCTGTTCAAACCATAAAATGCAGAAGAATAACACTCAGTACAAGTGTTTACGTTGTCCAGCCTTCTCTCAAGGCCTATGTGCATAACTGCAAGCAAAGTTACATCAATTATACAACTCCACCACACTGCATCTAGAATAATATTAATTTACACATTTTCAGAATAAGCTTTTTATTTCTTCCTAGGAGGTAGCAGAAAGCCATCAGAAAATGAGATCAGATGTATCAATAACATCCAGCTGAAACAAACTCCCCAACCCAGCTAACTGTAACATATGATAAATTTTTCTAATCCAGGTATGAACATCCCATGACTTGGCAACACTATTTCTAGATATACCAAGGCATATATTTCCCAGAAGATAAATCGCAGCGGTATTAACTAAATCTGACACCAATAAATTGTCCAAAGCTTTCACAATATTTCACAGAAAGCCAAGCACATGCAACTCTCGCTGGCAATAAGGTTGCTGCTTTAAGAAGGAAGCTAAGGGCCCTCTGCTGCTGACAGTTTCAGAGTATACCTCAAAACCAGGGCAACCAGAAGTTCTAGAAGAAACCAGCAATTACAAAACTTTTGAGGTTCATGTCGTCTGTGAAGGAGACATCCCCGTTTCTCATCTATGAAGTTACTGCAGGTTAAGGGCACTGCTTCTGAACATAGCTATCCCAGCACAGATTTTATGTGTTTTCATTAACACTCTTAATGATCACACTTTTGGTTAATTCATATCACTCTCTTGAGTATCCCTATGTGCATAAGCTCCTTGCTTAAACCAACACAGCTGCACCCATGCAAACTCGCTGTTATACACCATATACCAATATAAAAAGCAAACAGTGAGAATTGATCACCATCTCTTACCATTTCCCCACTTCACATACCATTTAAAATCTTACTATTATAAGACTGAACATTCAAACCTGGTTTAACTGCTGTCTGAGTAGCCCAGCCAGGCACAGGATCTTGTATAAGCCAGATACCCATGCTTCGACATTTGGTCTTCTGAAGCAAATGAGGACGGTTTCAAGTCAGGCTGTGTTTTAGTCAACGGAGGATTATTTTGTAAAATAGTCCCTCAAAGACTGTCCTTTGAGGAAACCGAAGGAGTGGAGGTGTTTTGACTTCTTTTTTCCTTGAAACCCATAATTTTAATCAAATAGATCAATTTTGCTGAATAAGCCCTTCCCTCTGCTCCCAGCTATGTCTTTGCAAGAGAACTGCAAATCAGGTAAATCCTCGGAAGAAGCAGAGAACAGCAGAATCTCCTTGCTAACCCAACACAGAGATTTATATGTCAAAAAGTCACCAATGTAGCACAAACCGAATGGCTGAATTTGAACTCCTGGGACACATGAGAAGATGCTGGCAAACAACATGCTTCATCTCACACAGTCCCCTACCATTCTCTAAGAGATGCAGAGTAATGGTTTTCATCAGGTACAGATCTTTTTAAGCTCACCCCTTTCCTTTTTCCCAAGCAGGCCATTTTGGAGTATTTCTGGAGGGGAACAAGCATAAATATAAAATTATACTGAAGAACAGCTTCTCCTCACCCTCCAGATTTCATCATTATGGTTGTTCCTCCAACCTGTCTTAGTCTCGCAGGCTGGTGGTGTACTCCTGAGCTACTCCCACCAAAACTGGTGAGGCAACTCAAGGATTAGGAAGAGGGAGTGTACCAAATTCCAGCTTTGAAGGAAAGGTGACTTACCATAAGCTTCTTCATCTGTTAGCACATCAGTAGTATACCTGAAATCCATGTAGAATGGCAATTGTTTGGCATCCTGATTCAAGGATGACATATAAAATAAAAAGCATAGCATAATAAAACAGTATGATGAAAAAAAGATTAAGTAATGCTAGTCACTTGAGGAATGGCTGTCAATCTTTTCCCTACGTCTCTTAAGCAAGCAGGGAGTTGAGACAGCAGATATTCTAAACCTTCCCCCCCAACCACCTCATCAGCCTGTGTTGCACTGTCAAACGTATGTATGCTTAACTTCATGGCTGTGAGTAGTCGATAATAAACCCTTTTCAGCTTCCTTTTAAACTCTATCCAAGTGGGAGTGAAAAATTAAACAGGAAAGCCAAGCCACACTTTCCAGCTCTCAAATTAACTCAGAGAAGCACCCCTGTTGTCACATCTCTTACTCTCAGGTCAAAAAACCCAGGTTCTTTTAGAACAGGCTCTTTTAGATCTTAAAACTGAGCAGAATTCCCCCCCAAATGACTGATTACTTCAGCAAACAGATCAACACACCAGGCCCAAGCATTTGCTAGCAGACAATGGTAGCATATACAGTTCAATTACTGAGTTTTTAGTTTTCAGTAAGGAGTTATTTTTGGGAAAAAGCTCCCAGCAATTAAAAAAGATTAAAACAAACCCCCAGTTATCCAGACTTAAAGAAAAGCAACTCCTTGGCCAAATCATAAACAAAGACCTACAGATTAAAGCACAATCTTTAAGTACACAGCTTCCTATTAGCAGTAGGCATCAGTTCCCACTGCCAGCTATGACACTAGAGCCGTACGAGACGAACTGTACAGCTTCTCCAGAAGAGGGTCTGGTTTGCATCTCTGCATGAGGGTAGACACATGAAGAGGGCATGGTGGGAGGGAAGGACATCTCTGAACAGAAAGTAACACCCACCGCCAGGAAAACAGCTTCTGTCTGAAATGAGCTGTAAGACCATTTTAGTTTGGACACCAACTAAAAGACGTATTTTTAACTAATGCAGTTAAAAACAATAGGGCCCAGTTGCCTTTAGACTGGAAATATAACAAGATTTCCTTACCAGGTCCACTAGTAACTTCCACCAAAACTAGAAAACAAAACAAATTAAATAACTGGAACCACATGGGTGCCATAAAAGAGATAACACGCAGATACTTTTTTCTTTATGAGGATGTGTCATGAAGTGCAAGCATGTTTACATTTGGCACACAAAATTAATTACTGACACCGAAGCAATGTGGTTCTCAGCCGCAAGCAAGAACATTTGACACTTTCCCCTGAAAATCATTAAGGATTGAGCATCCTTCTTAACCTGGTTTCATTATGTAAGCAATATTGGTGAGGTGATTATTAAAAAAGGGAAAAAAAAAAAAAAAGTGCCTCATACCAGCTATCTGACATGGTAACCTTCCCTCCGGCCCCCTCCCTTGCTGGAAATCATCACCATACAAACTACCCTTTTGACACATAAGATGTCTCTTTGTGAATTTTTTGATGAGCCTCTTTTTGGGGCTGTATTATGCTCTTGGACTTTGGCAAGCTGAAGGTTGCTGATTGCTTTCGCAAGCAATGATACATGAAGGCTCAATCCAACAGAGCAGAAGTGAAGAAAAGAGTGGATGCTGGCAGACCTGAGCCAGTGGGACTCAAGTGAACTCTCCCCTGCAAGCTGTACAGTCAGGGTAGTGCGGTGGCATGTCCCGAACCACATGCTACGTGAGCGTGCACAGCAGTGACTCCAGTCAGTGCTAGCTACAGCTTTTTCCTCTTTCTGCCCTCTTAAATCAGAATGCCTGCAAACAGCGAGCACGTCCAACTGTGCCTGTCATGATATGGCCACAGCAACATTGTACCAGGTATTATTTGTCCTCCTGCAGGGGTCTGAAGTGCTAGTTCTGGACTAGGACTCCACCATACCAAGGGTTTTAAGCTCACAGAGCAAAGGCCAATTTCTGCCTGTCATGACCTAAAGGGTTACCTGGCCTACAGGTGTGTAGAGATTGTGACTGTGGGTTGGTAGGATTCCGTAATACACAAGGACACGTAGGCTTTATCCTCTAAATTTCTCTATTTTATTACAGATGACCGCAAATACCAGAAAAATCACCACTAGCAAACATACCTATGATTAATAAAGCAAATATGAATGAATATATATCAAGCTATTATAAATTACTATCAGCAATCAATAATACAGTATCAATCAATGGTATGGTGTCAATCAATAATAGCATCAATCAGTATTGTAGTACAACCAATAACAGCACCAACTGAGTATATATATATATAACCAATATATACTATTATTACTATAGTACTAGATTACTATATACTATTAGAGATTACTACAGGTTATCATTAGTGAAGCAAACTTATCAACAATGTAACAGCAGATATATTTATGATAGATTACTCATATGAATATATACAATATCGCTATGAAGCAAATTAGATTTCAGATGGAGCCAAACCATCCCAAAAGGGGGGAAAAAAACGATCCCAGAGAGGGACCCAACCATCTCCAAAAGAGGGGAGGACAGACCGAGCCAATAAGACAACAGGCAGCGTCCCACTTCCAAAACGATCCACGTCAGAGAGTCTGGTTTCAGCCAGGCGTCCCCGAGGAGAGCCCAAGAGCTCATAGAAAGTTCATGTGGGATTCAACCGGGAAGTTCTCAGAAAGAGAGAGGCTCCGTTTTGGATAAAAATTAAGTCCTTTTTATATCACAGAGACATAAAAGGGAGTAGGACATTGAGCACCCAACAGATGCTGTTTATTTCTATTTTTCACCTGTAACAGCCAACAGATGATGCTGTTTTCTGTTCCTTCAAAGCCATTTTATTTTTTCAGACCGTTTTCGACCTTCTCAGATGATAAATTGTCATTACGGTCCCTTGTTTTGTGCTTATCGGTGGTATCTGTGGATATCTCTGGTTTCTAGGTACCCCAGCTGCACCTCAAAGAGGCCAGCTGCACTTTTCAACGATGTTTTTTTATGGTTCATAGGGCTAGTCCCCAGGCTCACAGTTCCAGGCTGGCAGCCCTTTCTCTGTTAGTATTTTGGAGCAGACAATATCTTTTGTTCAGAGATTTCCCCTTCTAACCATGCTGCCTTTATGGCTGCTTACATCACTGCCTAAATAGGTTATTTTTAATATCCAGTAACATGCTAAGTATACAAGATTTGGCTCCCAGATCAACAGTATATTCAGTAGGGAAGTCGCTAAAAGATTAAAATCTCAGATTAAAATCTCCAAGTAAGAAAGATGAAATCAAGTGAAGGGCATACAGAGAAACATCTAGTAAGCAGGGCTAGGCAAAAATCTTTTTTTTTCAGAAATGCCAGAGCTCCAACAAAATGACTCTGAAATGTTCTGACCAATTCCACGAGTAAGCACTGTGCAGTTGCTACCATTTTCCATCCTGCAAAGTCTCCAAGAACTCGGCGATGCCTGTACTTTATTTGATATTTTAAGGCTAAACATATGTATACATTACTGTAAAATCAAGACCAGATGTGCAAATGAGGGCAACCAGGAGCAGGGAATCTCTCTGAAACAATGAGCATTCTTATACTGAGATCCCATGAGCATTAACTTTTCCTCTCGCATGGCCCACAGAGCATTCAGGATGGCAGCTATGGCCAAGTGCACAGCACCCTTCTCTGGTCCAATCTGTTGAGCAAACAAATGTACATCCACCAGTGTCATCCACAGTGGTTTGATACTCGCCGATGTCTCAGTTTCAGTTAAATGATATTTTGTTCGCCAGAGATTAAAAGACAGCACTGTTGATAACACAGCAAGGGGAAAAGTCACTGATACTGGAAAAAAGGAAGAGTCTATATAGGTTAAAAATTACAAAAGAAGTAGATGCTGAAATGTGCGACTTGCATCAAATACCCAGCCGGAACTTTCTGAGTGGTTATTTTCACACTGGCTTGCCTTAGCACCAGATATGTTCCCAATTTCCAAGAATAAAAATGGAAATATTTTGTGAAAATGCACAACTTGTATGTTTGTTACTATCCTTTTCACAACAGCACTCCCCATGTGTCTTACCCAGCAGAGTTGCCTGTCGCTGGTGAGCTCTCTGTAGAAGCCTCCAAAGTTGTTGACAATTTCTCCCATGTCTCTATTGACCACGTGAATAAAGAAAGCCGTGACAGCACATATGACTGCAAAGCATAGCAGAATTTACTGCCTCACTGCAGCCAAATGCCTGTAACAGAATGACTGTGGGCCCTTTCCTCAGCTGATACTTCGAGAAGTAACCTTTCCTGACAGTCTATGAATTTGAAGTATCAGCATGGACGTTCACTTTGCACCCAGATCTGGGTGGCCATTGTCAATTTAGTTGCATGGCCATGTTTCATCTTATGCTTGCCTGTTTCCAGAGGCTGATCCCTTCCTCAAAAAGATTAATAATTACAAAGGGCTTTCAAGATGAAGAGTTGCTCCTGTATCACCTCCCACTCCACAGAGGAAGAAAACAGCCACCCTAGAGTGACAGCCCAGAACACAGAGAGACAGAGGCCATCAGACTACATCTCCTCTGAGGAAAACAGCACCTCTATAAATGAGAGAGCCTTTACATACCATCCCTTTCAAGCAACTGCTGCACCTCCCAGAGTTGTTTTGGTACTCGCAGTCATGTTCAAGTTCTCATTTCCTCATAAGGCATTCTGTTTCTGGCAGTGAGATGATGGCAGTTGTGGTCCAGCTATTTCAAGTCCCCAAGACTCAGGGCTGAGGCTGAATTCTGTTTTTTTCCAGTCCCACATACCACTACTCAACATCAACATATATTCCCAGCAAGGGTTTTTCTTAGGGTAAACCACACGCAAATCACGTCTAGCAAACTGCAGAGTGTCAGAGAAAGGACAGACACACTATGAAGCCTTGTGCCAACCATCATTTTCTTTAGCAGCATGGAATAAAGAAAGTCTTAGGAAATATGAGACCATGAGTCCAATTCTGTGAGGTCTCCCCTGTTCAGGGCATTTGCTTGAGATCTGAGAAACCAGTGTGTAAACCTCAGTTTTTTAAGAACCTTTTTGTGTGATTCTGACTGAGACACTTTACTTGTCTGTGTCTCAGTTCCTGCTGTTCCTACCTGCATCGTGGGAAGAACATCCCATCCCACTTTCCTTGGATGTGATGAATCATGTACTACAGTGGCTGAGGTCCTTTATGTATCTAGGCAGATTGTACCAAGCACATTTCACTCATGACGATAGAAGGGTGTTCAGCATCTTATATTACAACAGACCAGGTGATACACAGACTCCAATCTTAGGCTGACTAAAGATAATGGTTTATCCTTAAAGAAGCTTAAAATAACTGAGTATGTACTTGCCAGATTGCTAAGTGATTTTAAAAAAAATGTAGACGTTTCTGTAAGAAACAATTGCAAAGGTAGATTGAAGGAGGAAAAGGCATGATATCATCAAGTCACAGGTTTTGTGGGTGTTCAGCTGATTGCTTAGAGGGTTTTGACATATTCAGCAGCGTCAGTGAAACACCATGCTTGAGTGGCAAAGAAGGAATTGCTCATTCTATGGTCTAGGGCACTGACTGGCTGAAAGGGCACTAGAAGGCCCTTCTAAAGCACTGCTGCACACCAATTACATACGGAAGTTACATCTGGTACGAGAAGGGAGCAACGAGAACTGCAGAGGAATTCGCGCAGGTGCTCACTGGGCACTTGTCATAGAACACCATTGCAGCTGCATCCTGTTGTTACAGACTGCTTTGCCTAACAAAAGCCTCCTGCCCGCCTGGCCGTGTGTGCCATGGTGTCGGAGGTGCGGCAGCCCAGCAACCTGGAAAGGCGGATGCCTCTGGCAGTCACTGCCATCCTTAGAGACTGAGGTCAAGCGCTTACCCACATGTGGGCTGTTTGTGCGGTGGCTAGCTGCACCCCGGGGCCACCTGGGCTAGCCCCAGGCTGAGCATGCCAGGGGCTGGTGGGGTTTGCCAGCTCAAGCTCCACGCTGTCTGCACGTAATGATTGATACACCGGCTTTGTGGCAGCCAAATTGCTATGTGGGGCCCACAGGCTTTACCCAGGCTTTTCCATTTTTTTTGGTGTAGCTCAGGTGCCCATTGGGGGGCATAATGGGAAATTACTACAGGCTTTTCTTAGGAAATCACCTCTCCAATCTCAAGACCAGAAGTCGAGGTTGGTAGGCGATGCGAAACATTGCCCATCTGAAAGGAAATTCCCAGTAGGACCAAATGCTAGATTCTGGCTGCTGCTCGGTCACGGTCTTCGACTTGATCCTGGATGAGTCAAAATACCTCTTCTCCCCTTGCCTTAATTTGCCATCCAGAGATAAGGAAACTGATCTCATTTGTGAAGTGTTTGAGAGCGAGGAATGCTATATATTATGTAATAAGGGTTGTTAGGTAAGATGGCAGATGCCTTGGGAACCCCGAAGAGAGATGCTGCGTATGAGTAGATTTCTGCCTGTTGCCTGGCATAACAGTGTCTGTCTTGGGACGAAGAACAAATGAGGGTTGTGCTATCTTGTCGATAAATCAAGAGCATTCGCACAAGGCAGGCTGGCCTGTCAAAGTGGATATGTGTCCCACTATCTTCCTGAATGCCATTTGTCATCCCCAAGCTGCAGAGAGGATCATTCCTTCTTACCTTAATGATCAGTTGAACTCAGAGGGCATATCTATTGCTAAGTATACACACACTTACCTTCAAAACACTTAGTAGCAGTCTGAAAAGGCTGGGGCTGTTCTAATGACAGTGGCGCCAGAGATTATATTGAGCCTATTAGTAATCTACTTATTATAATCTTAAACCCCCTGAAGCTACTGATTGAACTTCAGTTTCATATGAGAAAAAATCTCCCCTTGCAAATGGTAGTCTTTTGATAGAGGTGGCAAGAAGATTAAATGCACTGATTTTGATGCAGTCACCTTAACAAATAACGCTAAGTTAACATGTAAGTATGGAAACGATTTCTATTGTACTTGCAGACTTTTAGCACAAAGTAAAGAATATACATTTATGCTAGTCATAAGCCAATTTGAAAGACAGACCCATTCCAGAAGTGAAGAGGGTAATATAGAATGAAATCAAAACTCCAGTGGAAGTGACATGGATCTGACCTTGCTCTAATAAGGCTGCTCAATTTGCCAGGCACCTTCCATTTAAAAAAGAAAAAAAAAAAAAGAAAAAAAGATGGTACATAAGGCTGCTAAAGGCTTCTAATCTTTAATTCTGTGAATTCTCATATGTGTTCATGCTATTACTGCACAGCCACATGATGGAGAAATAAAAGCCGGTCAGTTGTGGTGAAGAGCGAGCACCTAGGCTAGAACTGAGAGGAAGGTGGGTAGAGGGATGTAAGTCATCTAGTCTCCACCTTCCACTCTTAGAAATGTGAGCCAACACTCTTGCCTTTTCTTGGGAACTCTTCAGAAGGACATAACCACAGACTTGGCCTCCTTGCCAGGGCTGAACAGGGGCTGCAATCTAGCACGGTCGTTCACTGTTCGACAACACACCTTGAGCATCTCCGTGAATGGCGTATTCCACAGTTGCTGGAGGAGCAGGGAGCCATCCTCACTGTTTTCATGATGAAGCAGTCAAATGATTAGATATTCTCCTTATTTGTGGCACTTTGACCATAGGAGTCATGCTGAACTGAGATTTATCCTTTTTTGTTCTTGAAAGAGCAGAAATGCTTCCTTACCCAGCACATACAACTCTGGCACTTCCAAACACTGAAGCTGAGAGAAGGATCATCAGCCACGGAGCCCCTGGAAGGCTGCCCGAGATGTGAATAAATGTGGGGGTATTGAATGAATGGTGAATGCAGCAGCTGGCACCTGTTGAGGTCCAGGAAAAAAGTGAGTTGTTAGCACGCATGGGATGGATTTTCAGGGCCAAATGTAAGATGCACAGATCTATCCATTTCCCAGTGTGTACTCGTCAGTAGCCTCAGCTACTCATCAGCCTACTACTCAATAACCTGGCAGCAGGGCACAAAGGAGAGGGGTGAAGTGCTCCTACTGGGAGTAGCTTTTTGATAAAAAAGGGAATGCTTTCACAGTAGTCAGCTTCAGATTCATCAAGAGTGCTTGTATTCAGGTTTCCCTTTTAAATTTCCAGTCTGTTCATCAGACCTTGCTGAGTTTAACTTGGTAACTGTCCTCTCTCCTTTAAGAAGAACAAATCAAAAGCAACACAATAGCCAACACGTGTTTCTACTCACTTAAAGTAAATGAAATACGAAGAGGAGATGGACAATGTTCTGTAAAAGCACACAGTGCTATGAATACTTTGATCCCCAACAACAGTGGTTATTACAATTTGACAAAAAATACACCTTTAAATTAAAAATGTCACACACCCCACCCCACCCCCACCCCCATGTGCTACCTACAAGAAGCACGTTTGCATGCAGAACTAACAAGGAAAATAAGCTCAAAAAGTAGGACCAGTAAAGAACATGGGTAATGCCTGAACTCCGTTAAGTTCCTAGGTATGCCGTGCCCACATGGAGAGGAGGGAAACCTAACACAAAATCCTACATCCACATACACCAACTAGGAAAGAAATGCTAAGCTACTTGCCAGTGTCTGAAATGCCGTCACCCTGGAGCTGAGCTCCAGAGGCAAGCATCCCTGTCAATTTGGGATCCAGGGAACAGCATCTCTCTGGTCAGGCGCTCTGTATCATTTTTTTTTCCCTAAGAGCTGATCAAGGTTCACTCTTACAAATGACAGAATGACGCTTGGGACTCCCCAGCTAATATGAAGGGGCTCTGCTAGGAACGAGTCAGGGTGAGCTGACTAGAACCAACATAGAGAACACAAGCAGCACTTGGCATTAGCCTTGCTCCATTTCCACTGCGCACGAGGGAACAGATGCTCCTCAGTTCCCCTGCATTTCTACCTCCTTTTCAAAATACAGCAGAGAGAACAGATGACACCTGGTACGCCACACCCCTCAACCTGCTTCCCTCTGCCCAGCGAAGAAGCGTAGTACCTCAGCTGCTCACCTCCATCCTTCCGTCTCACTCTCTCCCTCTCCCTCCCTTATGCTAAGGGAGAAGCAGGGAAGCTGTTGATGTTTCTCCAGCTCTCTCCCCCTCTGGAAGTGTCAGCAGGGAAAAGTGCAGAGAAAAAAAGAAAAGATCCTGGTCCTTGAGCAAATGCTTAAGCCTGTGGCTGCGGGTAAAGTCCTGCAGTGGGTTCTGCTCCCCACTCTCAACAACCTCCTAACAGTCTCTCACAGCTGACAGCCACCTGTATAAGCTCCACCAGCTATCCACGATTCTTGATCGGAGCCCAGGTTTTATACTCGAGGCCGTTACATCAA